GTATGAAGGGCTATGTGCATTTTCATATGTGTGTGCACTCCTGTGGGAGGCAGAGTTCCTAGGAGCCAGCCATCTTGCTTTTCAGACATCTTGTTTTTGTTTTTGTTTTTGTCCCTCACTGTGACCTGTGGTTCACTGTGACAAGGTGCTTGATAGTACGCTGTCAGCTTCTCCCTGCTAGTACTGAGATTACAAGTATTTGTCCAGTGCCTGGTTGGTTTGTTTTTTTCCATGTGGAATTGGGGGTTTGAACTCAGCTCCCCATGCTTGTGTGGCAAGCTATACCAACTGAGCTATCTTCCCAGTCCTATTTTTCTGCATTTATTTATTCTGTGTTTGCATGTGTGTGTCCAAGTGCTGCAACACACACGTGGAGATGGGAGGACAACTTGCAGGAGCTGGTCCTCTCCTTCCACCACGTGCCTTCCAGGCCTCGGTCTGCAGATTTGGCAGAAAGCACCATCGCCCGCCGAGTCAGCTCACTGCTCCGCCCTTTGGCCACCTTCCCCTTGGAGTTCCACTCTGCTGCGGGACGTTTGTACACTGTGTGAGGATACATTACTGTGATTGGCTTAGGAATGAGCTCAACGGCCAATAGCTGGGCAGGAGGTATAGACAGGACGTCCAGAGAGAGAAAGGAAGAGGAGGCGAAATCAAGAGGCCGAAGCCAGGAACCAGAGGAAGCAAGAGGGTTAAAATGAAAGAGAGGAAACAGCAAGTGCTAGAACATTCACTCATTCATTCACGCCCGGCAAAGCTTAAGCAAGCGTGGGCAGTCCGTGTATGGTGGTTCTCCAGTTGTTCCTATCCCGGGCAGTTCCAGTCTTCCTTTCTGCTGTCTATCCAGCGGTTTTTGGGCCTTCCTCTTCGCCTTATCCCGTGCACTCCTCCAAGCAGGGCTGTCTTTGGGTATCTTCTATCAATTATTCTCATAACATGGCCGAAGCACCTCCAGGGCCCGCCCTTGTCGTATCCTTCTGGAGATGGAGACGTTTCTTAATGTCATCGTTGTGCAGCCCGTCCCATCGTGTGACACCTAGAATCCTGAGGCTCACCATCTCAATCACATTCAGCCGCTGTTCTGAGGAGTAGTTCACTGTCCAAGTTTCAGAGTTGTAAAGGAGCAGCTCAAGACAAGTCTCATACACTTGTAATTTTGTTGTGGTTGTTATGTCTCTTGCTGACCAAACAAGAGACAAGAACACAGGATAGAACATAGATTAATATAAATGGGTTAATTTTAGTTATAAAACCTAGTTAGGAACAAGTCTAAGCTATAGGCCGAGCTTTCATACTTAGTAAGAAGTCTCTGTGTTATTTGAGAGCTGGTGGCCCCAAGGAAAGTCCGAGAACACCCTCTGCAGCCCAGGCTGGGCTTAAATCATGCCAATATTCCTGCTTCAGCCCCTGTGGTGCTGAAACTGCAGACGGGAACCTGTTCAGTCTTCTGTGATTCCCCGGAGAATCACACAGTTCCGCTGCTCTGAGCTGCTGCATAAACCAAGCAATTTGACTCTAATGTTTCCAGGACACTTTTTTTTTTAATTTTTATGATTTATTTATCTTTTATTTTATGTGCATTGGTGTGAAAGTGTCAGATCCCCTGGGACTGGATTTTCAGACAGTTGTGAGCTGCCATGTGGGTGCTGGGAATTGAACCTGGGTCCTCTGGAAGAGCAGTCAGTGCTCTTAACCACTGAGCCATTTCTCTAGCCCCTTCCAGGGCACTTTTGCAGGTTGAATATCCATGTAATAACAACATACAAGAGTTCTGGAAATTATCGCTAGCTTCGATAAGAAAGAATATATTTTCATATGTAATTTCTTCATTTTACTTAAGGAAGACAGTGCTCTTGACAGTCTTCCAATTTAACTCCTGAATTTAAATGTTAGAAACAAAATAGATTTGAGCTGGAAACCTAGCTGCATTATCTCAGCGTAGCTCCTGAGAACACTGGTTTACAGACTAGAGAACCACAGCAACACCCCAGCTGCACAGACCTCAGACACCAAAGCAGAAGCCCCATGGAATCATCTGGCGCCTGGAAAATCACATGCGACCCCAGGCATGGCGGAGAATATCTGTAATGTCAGCCTCAGGAACCTGAGGCAGGAGGATCGCTGTTTGAGGCTCACCTTAGCTACATAGCGGGTCCTAGGCTAGTCCCAGTTAGAGTGAGACCTTGTCTCAGAAAAAAAAAAAATTAATTAAAGCTCTCTGAATTGGTGAAAAATTATTTAATTTTCTTAGATGGGTGTAGAAACTCACACTTTTTTGTTTTGTTTCTTGAGACAAGGTTTCTCTGTAGCTTTGGAACCTGTCCTGAAACTCACTCTGTAGGCCAGGCTAGCTTTGAACTCAGAGATTGGCCTGCCTCTGCCTCCCAAGTGCTGCCAGGTGGAACCCCACACTTTAATTCCAGCACCTGGGCAGCTACAGTAGAAGCACTGTCAAGAATTTGGTTTCGTTTTTGTCATCCCAACAAGGACGGAGACAGGAAGATTCTGGAGCTTTTCCCAACCAGACAGTCTAGCTGAATTGGCAAACATTAGGTTTAACGGGAGACCATGTCTCAAGAAAATATGACGGGCCGGGCGGTGGTGGCGCATGCCTTTAATCCCAGCACTTGGGAGGTTGAGACAGGCGGATCTCTGTGAGTTCGAGGCCAGCCTGGTCTACATAGAGCTAGTGCCAGGACAGGCTCCAAAGTTACAGAGAAACCCTGTTCCAAAAAGAAAAAAAGAAAAAAGAAAATATGACGATGCACATCTTTAATCTCAGCACTTGGGAGGCAGAGGCAGGTGAATCACTGAGAGATCGAGGCCAGTCTGGTCTACAGAGCAAGTTCAGGACTATACAGGACTACAGAGAAACCTGATCTGGAAAAAACCCAAAACTAAATGAAAGAATAAAAGAAAAGTGAAAAAAAAAAACCAACTCCATATTTCCAATGTTTGCAGTGAGATCCTCAAAACAGCTAAATATGAACTAATCAATCCCTAAATATGTATAATACAACATAAGTCTTCTGTTCCCTTAAATTTCTGGTTATGGATCGCCAGATGGTTTAGCAAGGAAAGGCATTTGCCGAAGAGCCTGGTCAGAATTAAATTCCCAAGAACCCACATGGTGGGGAGATTCCCACAAGTTGTCCTCTGACCTTCAAACAATTTGAACTAGAGTGAACAACACACACACACACACACACACACACACATCACACACGTGCGTGCACGCACTCATGCATATGAGCACGTGCATGCCTGCGGAGACATTTAAAAATAAGTAAATTCCTGATTATAGCTTTTCAATTTGTCACACAACAGACTTACAACACTTAGGTTTTCAAGATTATCTATGCATCTATCAATTCCCTTGCAAGCCTCTGGTGGATTTAAGCTAAACATAATTAGACCTAGCTTTCCAAGGAAGAACTGACTCTGGGGACATGGGAGTGTTCCAGAACAGAAGACCAACCGGGGTCGTGGTGGTGCAAGCCTTTAATCCCAGGCCTCCAGAGGCAGAGACAGGCGGCTCTGTTAGTTCGAGGCCACGCTCCAATACAAAGCAAGTTCCAGAACAGCCAGGTCTGTTACACAGAGAAACCCTGTCTCGAAAAACCAAAGGGGGGGTGGGGGGGAGGAAGACCAACAGTTCTAACAGGAAAAGTTCCCTCTGAAGACAGCAGAGTTCAAGGTCAGCTTCAGGGTCGTCTGGAGTCTCTACCTTCCCCCAAATAGTAAGATTTATGTTGTGGAGGGGGGGGGGTATACATTCTTTGAAAGCCTTTTCAAAATGCAAAGAAAGGTCTCCGGTCTTAAGTGGAGGAGAGAATAACAAAACTACAAAATCTAAGAAAAATACTATATATTATGTTTAAAGATGACTAAACAGTGGGCTAGTAGCAAACAATTGGTAGCAAGCAGGA